GAGGGAATGTTCTCTACTCATGTGCGACTAAAAGATTTCATATTCAGCTCTTTTGGTGGGGTCTTTTTCGCGCATCATCAGTCTTCCATTTCTCGGGTCACTGAAGCCGGCATCTACAACTGACATGCCACGTAGTTGCACAGTTCACTTCCTGAATTTCAAAGGCCAATATGTCACAAATTCTAGCTACTGTGATTCCTTGCGACCTCGCTACAGCACGAAATAGTGCAAAAACGCATAATCGTACCGGCTGGCCTGGTATGTTCCAGCCTGGGTTTTTAGATATCACCATTATCTGATACGTGACCTCACACTCAAGCTCAAAAACATTCAAAGCGAAGCAAACTAAAAACCAGAGATTATGGAGTTTCTATTATTTGTACAAGGAGGCAACATGCTATAATCAACTCTCAAACTCCATCATTTCTGTGAGTTGTTTAAGAGGAAAACATTAGAAGGAAAGAAACTGTGGTTATGAAACTCTTTTTCTTATTTTTTGTGAGTTGTTTAAGAGAAATCCTGAAAGGGAGTATCATTGACAGCCTTTTCAGCGGATCATTGCTGTTGACACTTGCCACCACTTCGGTTATTTGCAAGTGCCCCGCGTGGAGAGTGAATGCAGAAGGGATTTGTTGACTTGATGAGCTGAATGGAAAGCCGTATATTTTAATTGAAAGTTCCTCGTTTTTAGGTGTCAGATGTCTTTGAAGATAATTGCAACCTTGCGTGGAAGGCGCCAGAAGATGATGGCGGAGAGCCAGTTGAATATTACGAGGTCGAAAAGCTAGATGTGGATTCTGGGCGTTGGATGCCTTGCGCAAAGGTTAAAGATACCAAAGCACATGTCGAAGACTTACGTAAGGGCCAAACATATCAGTTTCGGGTAAAGGCAGTAAATCGTGAAGGAGCTAGTGATCCACTAGCAACGAAGGAATCAATTTTGGCCAAAAATCCTTACGGTATGGTCTACAGTTACAGTTTAATAAAGTAAAGTGCATAAAAATAAGTAGGGTTTGGTCATTCATCTGCTAATTATTTGTCGGATTAATTCAACTGAAGATTTAATTTGGGAATGTACATTAATGTTTTAATATAAATATTAATGAAAATAGTAAATACGAGCAGCCACGACATTTCACTTTTAAAAAACTGCTACGAGACTAGTTTTTCGAAACTCTTCTGTTTTATGGTTTTAATATTCTGCACCTTTTGCTTCAGATGAGCCTGGAAAGCCATCAACTCCAGAAGTGACTGATTGGGATGTCGATCGTGTAAATTTAGCATGGGAACCTCCTACAAATGTATGCTTGATTCAGATTTTAGCGATGAAAAAATATTGAAGAACCAAAACTTTTTGGTTTCATAGGTTTTAGTGAATTGATTTTTCTAGTACGCTTTAATTATTTGGAAACGCTTCTACAACGTATTTTTTACAATGTTAGTTGTTTGAAAATTTCTACTAGATAGAACGTTTAGGATGGAGGAGCACCGATAACCGGCTATGTCATTGAAAAACGAAGTAAACATAGTAAGGATTGGAGTGAGTGCGCAAAAACAAAAGGCGCAGAATGTGAAGCCGAAGTTCTGGGTCTGAAGGAAGGCGAGGAATATCAGTTTCGAATTCGAGCCGTCAATAAAGCAGGACCGGGCGAGCCGTCCGACCCAAGCAGAAGAGTTGTTGCCAAGCATCGCAACCGTAAGAAATCGAGTTTCAACCGAGCGTACCAAATTTGATTGTGCATTTGCTAGGACTTAACTCTTTTTTTTTCTGGATAAACTAGTGGAGGGAGAGTAACTTTTTTAGTGGCATGAACGAACCACTGTTGTCATCAGTAATTACTTGCTAGCAAAAGAATTCGCTTGAAACGTGTTTAAAATCTTTGCAGTAAATCAGTTAGCTTTCCAAATAAATCACGGTGGACAGATGTCTTTGCAGCAATAAATTTGATTTACATTTAGATAATAAAAAGAAATATAAAATCTGCAACAAATTCTAGCAGTTTGTTCGTTCAGTGAAACCGCATATTGACCGCGAATCAATGAAATCAGTAACAATCAAGGTTGGTCAGAGTCTGGAATTTGATGTACCTGTGATCGGCGAGCCACCTCCAGAAAAAGTTTGGACGTTCAATGAAAAGCCAATCGAAGGTGACGGTCGTATTGCGGTATGTGACCGAACATTATTGTGTCTATAAAAATGTAGTAAAAATGCAACACGGAGTGCCATTTCATAAGGTTTTGGTGTGATACTGACAGATTTAGCACAGGGATAAATCTTTTTCTGAAGGACCATTGTGGTGAGCGTAATATTTTTTTTTTGTAGAACAACTTCAAAATGTTAATTTTCTTTTTGAAAAACTGATGACACGCTTCAGTAGGGGGCTTGAGTCGGAGCAGCGACAGAGCTAAGGTATTGGGAAGAGTGTTAGATTCATTAATATAGCAGAAATATTGAAAAACTCAAAGGTTACCCGATGGAGTTTCAGCTCGTGCTAGAAGGACGTAAAATTTAATCTAATGAAAGTTAAGGCCTATCACTTAAAAAAGCGATATTTAATCTTTTCAAAGCAAAAACACGCCAAGCATCATTTCGGTAAAACGATTCAATATTAATATCTTTAGAAGCAACGCAATAATTGTATTCTAGCATGTCTATTTCTTATAAACAAGTTAGCATTGCGAATTTTACTGACAAATTTTAGATATCAAATGAAGATTATAAAACAGTGTTTGTGCTGAAAAATGCGGCTCGCAAGCATGCCGGAAAATACACGTTAACTGCGTCAAACGTAAATGGAACCGATAAACATTCAGTGGATGTT